GTTCTGTATTTTATTTATTAATGCATTTTTAATAATATATGGTTAATAAGGATCTATTTTAAGCTTACAAACAAATAAATTTTAGTTTTTAATATAGTACAGGAAAAAGTAATCTAAATTTATGAATGCATGTACTGAAAATACAGTACATACGTGTAAATGTATATATTTTATTATGATTTAATGTGCTTTAAATGATTTTCTAGTGATATTATGACTTCAATATTTGTGGCAGACAGACGTAAAGTCAAATAAAATGACTTAAACTTGATTTTTATTTTTCCATATACTTTTTTGACAAACGACGTATAATCAGGAACGACGTAACTCAAAACGACGTAAGTCGAGGTATACCTGTACAATAATTTTTATTTTTGGTGTACAAGTACCATTATAGATTGTATTTATTTATATACGAGCCTGTGCATTTAAGAAAATTCAAAATTTGTAACATTTCAGAACAAATGTCTGTTTTAAAATAAGAATTATTTGATTGTTATGTTCCTGATGAAGGCCTTTCAAAATGGCCAAAAATGTTAGAAAATTGAAATAAAAGGCTGCATTATAAATGTTTTTGTGTCGATGCTTGAGTAATAATTAAGTGCAGATAAAGAAGAATGTATATGTTCATATTTATTCTTTATTATCATATAATAATATATACAGGGTGGGCTAAATGCATAGCTTGATTTGACAACAGGGTATAAGATGCACATGCATGAGATATGGACTTGGACTGGATTGGGAAAGGAGAGCCATATGCAATCATGACTTCATGGTTACAGAACACTATGGGCATTTGCATTTGCTGTGAAGTCTTATTTTAAAAATGATAATTGATGATAACTGTATGAAGGATCTTACATGTTGAAATTGAAACCTTCTGCACATATGGTTTCAGCATGATGCCCATACTGCCCATCAGTTCATGACAATCTTGAAATGTGTGTTTCCTGATTGTATGATTTCAAGATTTGAAAACATTGACCAGTGTGATTACAGATTTGATTATTTTAGACTTCTGGTGTACTTGAAGAATCAGGTGTTCACCACATGCCCTCAATCACTCTGATCTTAAGGATTGTATAGCAGATATGCAGAATATTCCCTTAGACATATCTTATTTGATTGAGGTTTTTGTCCAGTGCTTGAGTAATGGTTTGTTTGTATTGGTGGATACTACCTGGTGTGATATTCAAGTAATGAAATTTGACATTCCTGATTGAAAGTAGTAAATTTTTATTTGTACTGTGGTTATTTTTAAATATATATTTTTCCATTATTTCTGTCATGTTTGTATATTCTTTTTATCTGTTTTGCCCAACCCTGTATATAAAAAACAGCTGAGAGATGTTACAGCACTACCTTATAAATGGCACAGAATTGATAGTTTTCTTTCATGTAAATTTAATATATAGTCTATGTATGTCTTGTCTCTTTAATCCAACATTAAGTTTGGTAGACTGTTGTTAATATATAGTTTTAATTGCAACATATAAATCAAACAAATAATGAAAATAAATTTTATAAAACTTTGTGGTTTTATGACAAATTAATTTTGGTAAAGTTATTCCATCCTAACACTAGCCTACTAAAACATTAGCATAGCTCTAATTCAAAGTGCTAAAAACTTAAAATTGTGTTAGAAAAAATAGTTTGAATTGGATTTATTTTTGAGGATTACTTTTCAAGTGTATAATCATTTACCATAAAAAAAGTTCTAAAAGATTAAAAACAATAAATGTACAGTCAAACTTTAATTTAGTTCCACTACTTATTTATCTTTGAAATTAGCACTAAATAGAATGTGGTGCTAAACTGAGCAGCCTCAACAATAAGAAATGAATAGGATATAATAATGAGGTTTGCACACAAATTTGAGTTTGAGAATTTGAAAGTTATGTGATTTGATGATAACAATGTCATATTTGGTAATTCACAGATATATCAAACAGTTTTCCATTTAATAAATATGGGTAAAGATCCATTCCTAAATATTTATTGGCACTTTACAATTGCAGCACTATTTAGTAGGATATTACATTATAGTTAGACTACATTATTAGTCAGTAAAATCTGTCTAAAATGGAGTCTGAATAAAATTGCTCTCTTCAGAAGAGAGCAATTTTCTGTTAAATCTCACTACAGGATGGAAACTTGTCCATGGAATTGATGATATTATTGAATACTAAGAACAAAACCTAACCTGGATAAAGTGGAAAATTATGATGCCATTTGTAGAAAAAATAAGTAAAATCATCTCTAGATATATCAGTCATTACAGAGCATGACAAATTGTATTTTGAAAATGATTTCAAACTCTGTCAGAGAAACAAAGGTTATATGACAAGAGAACATATAGACACGAGGGTTTTCTTGGAATTAACCAGGGACAGAATCAAATACTTTCGAAAATTGAATGAATTTACAATTTTGTAATTAAAGTATTGGTTTTGTTGCATACTGATAAAAATTAATAATTCTAAGATCTTGAAAATTGTATTAAGAGATACAACACTAATAAGGCCAGTTATAAAATGATACAACTACTATGTTTTTTGTGCTTAGTTTTATTAAGATATCACAAGTAACTGAAAGTACTGAAAAACTGAACTGATAGTTATTATATGTAACATATAATAACTATCAGTTCAGTTTTTCAGTACTTTCAGTTACTTGTGATATCTTAATAAAACTAAGCACAAAAAACATAGTAGTTGTATCATTTTATAACTGGCCTTATTAGTGTTGTATCTCTTAATACAATTTTCAAGATCTTAGAATTATTAATTTTTATCAGTATGCAACAAAACCAATACTTTAATTACAAAATTGTAAATTCATTCAATTTTCGAAAGTATTTGATTCTGTCCCTGGTTAATTCCAAGAAAACCCTCGTGTCTATATGTTCTCTTGTCATATAACCTTTGTTTCTCTGACAGAGTTTGAAATCATTTTCAAAATACAATTTGTCATGCTCTGTAATGACTGATATATCTAGAGATGATTTTACTTATTTTTTCTACAAATGGCATCATAATTTTCCACTTTATCCAGGTTAGGTTTTGTTCTTAGTATTCAATAATATCATCAATTCCATGGACAAGTTTCCATCCTGTAGTGAGATTTAACAGAAAATTGCTCTCTTCTGAAGAGAGCAATTTTATTCAGACTCCATTTTAGACAGATNTTCATTTAATATTTATTATTTAACTTATTTATTTCTATATAATAATAAATTAATAAAGTAAAACAAATGTAAAAAGAAAAAGAATTTACTAAATTTTAAAAAATATTTAAATTGAGAAACACACTTTGCTTAAATAATTGTAATATTTATGGTTTATTCTCATTTCATTCAGGAAGAAAAGGAACCAGAATTAATTTGAGTTCTAAGTTTTTAATCTTTTTCTCTTAAATATATTTAATGATTTTATATTAAGTTAACTAGTTAAGTATTCAATTTTAAAATAATTTGTACAATAAATTCATTTGGTAATGTATTATAACTTTAAATTTTTAATATATTACAGAATGTTTATCACTTTGTTATAATCATATTGCAAATCTTGATGCTGAGTTTTCTGGAACAACTGAGAAATGGATCTATTGAAAGTAGGAGTTTTCAAGTTGCAGAGACTACACGTCGTGTCTTATCATTGGAACTGAGCAATTTTCGAGACTTGGAAAGATCTCATGCTGGAGGTGTTAATACAATTGATATAGAAACTGTAGAAAACAGATAGTAAGTATTAATTGTTTTTCTAGTTTTTCTGCTTACTATATATCGAAATGTTGAAGTTGCATGTGGCTCTTCTTGATCCTTATTGTAGCTCCCATATATCAGACCTTTTTACCTAAAGTCAGTCTTTTATCTCTTAATACACATACATGTATGCAATACATAGGCTATATATAAAATACTATTCAAATATCAAAGGTTGCTCTAGAAAATTTTTAAAAATCACCAAATATTTTGCCATATAAAATTATTTATTGCTAACAGTTTTACCTAATAATTAATGCAGATGTTGGTAGCATTTGCATTAATTAGTAAGTTTGGAGTCTAGAAATAAAAAGTAAAATATTAAGCTGTCACTTAGAAATAGGAATCAATTTTGAATAATTTTTTAATGAATAATTCTGAATAACACACTTGATCACAATGCTTAAACAATATTTCATATGTTCTGTCATATAAAAATTTTTGTGTTTTAGTCTACTGAAAAAGATCAAAGTGGAAAAAAAAGTCACTGCAAATTTTCTGTTGGTCGATAAAATTACCTAATCTGGAATGCTGGGCAGCATTGCATGAAAACTAATTTTGGTTTTCAATGTCACTTCCTGCTTTCCTCGAATATTGCCATATGACATCATGACTTGCTAGGTGTGTGGTGACTTCCATCACACAAAAGCTGAACATTTTGATGTTTTTCCTGAAATGTGCTTTGTGATTTAGTTTCATGCTGAATGTTGAAATAAGCAGATTAGGGATTTTATCGTCAATATTATATTTTTATTGCCACTTTAATAAAAATGTTGCTCAGTGGCAATTTTGGCATTATGCAGTACAACTCCTGTAATATAGGATGTGGCTCTTATGTATTTCTGATAGGCAGTGTATGGCTCCTATCATGACAAAGTTTGGTCACCACAAACTTATATAATTTTTTAATTTGTGTTCAAATTAATAAAATATGCAAATAAAGAAAATTTTTATAGGATAAACTATTCTTAAACTTTTTATTTTAATATTTAAATGTATATACAGTAATACTTTTAAAATTTAATCATGATTTATTGAAATATTTTTAAATTTAGTTTGCTATCTGGAGGAACAGATGGTACAATTTTCATTCATGATTTATATAACTTGAAAGGAAATCCACAATACACATGCAATGTTGCATGCAGAATTGATAAGTAAGTTGATTCTTAAGTTATTATTAATATAATACATTTTGATGAAATTAAATTATGATTTTTATTGTTGAATAACTCAGACGTTCAGGACATGCCCATTCATTCAGTGTGGGATGTGTTCAGTGGTATCCATTTGATACTGGATTATTTACTTCCACTGGTATGGATCACCAACTTCGTGTTTGGGATGCAAACAGCCAGAAACCTGTTGAAATATTCAGATTGGATACACATGTGAATGGTCATCATATGTCTTCTGTTGCTACTCAACATTCGTTAGTTGCAGGTAAATATGTCTTAAATTAATAATCATCTAAAAATTATGATTTCTTATATAAACTATTAATTAGATTGAAAAATATGGACTAAAAAATTTAAATTTATATAATTAAATTTCTAGTTCTTTTATGTTGTTTTTCAAAGTGTGATGTTTCTGATTTAAATTTAAAAATATTAGAAAATACTGTATGTAAAAAATGCATAATATCACTGTAATAAAATATAATACAACTTGTTTATTTTTTGAGGGATGAATATATTATTAATGTTTAATGCAGTGATTTTCAGTCAGTGTGCCACGAGAGGATTATAGGTGTGCGTGAAAATTTCTGAAGGTTATTAAATAAAATATTTTGGAAAGAAGCCCAAAGAACAATAAGTGTACTTATCATAATTATCATAAAATAGTTTTAGTCACAGAAATTACTTTTGATGATAATTGAAAAATGTAAGTGTTCCACTTCATGTCAGTATTGTACTTACTAGTAGATAAAATATATAATTTGAAAATAACAAAATTAAATATGATAAAATATATACACTTATATATACTACCAAGTATGTATGGACTAAATTATGACTTTTAGTCCATAATTTAATTAATTTTAAAATTTACATAAATATTTTAAATATGAGATAAATAGAATAACTTTGTATCTCATTTAACATAAAATAAAAATGTTGATATATTTTGTTTTATCTAAATAATTACATTTGTTACAAAGATAGCTCAATAATTATTTTAAAATTGATATAAAATGACAAAAGCATCTATATTTCTAAAGCATAAATAATTTATTTCCTTTTGACTTTTTTGATGAATTGTCATATAAAAAAACAATGAGTAAAATCTTTCGTAATTTTAAGAATAAAATGATGCAGTAGACTTGTCTCATAGTTACCTCAATTTAGTAACTCTCCACAGTATAACAACCAATGAAGAATATCTTGGAAAACTCCTACAAGCACAAGATTTTTTAAGAATAGGTCTGCAATTTGTACAAGAAAATGGTTAATAGATGTGTCTTTCTTGAGAGAAAGGAACATTTTTTAATTATTAATAATTGCACTGCATAATTTGCCAGAAATTAAAAGTTTAATCATTATAAAAGTTGAATTTCTGCTTTCAAATGTGACTTCTTTCCTTCAGCCTCTAAATCAAGGAGTAATTTGGAATTTTAAAGAATGTTACAGATAGAAACTCATCAACCAAATTATTAAAATTTGTTTGTTGAGGTTTTGCTTAGAAATTGGTAAATGTTTTGAAGTTAATGTTTTAATTGCTATTCACAAAGCATGATTTTTGGCATGCAGTTTTTGAGAAAACCTGTCAAAACTGCTTTCAGAATTTCGAGTATGTCAAGCAATCTGATGATGAAGAGCCATCAGCAAAAGTTTCTCTGCTTTTTGGAAGATCTGAGATCAATGAGAAAGACAAATTTTTATTGTGAACAATTATGAAGCATATATCTCTTCAGAAAATGTCAGTTTTGAAGATCATGTGACAGTGAATAGTAATGTATGTAAATTGCAGACTACTGCTGCAATAAATAAAGCAACAAATGCTATTAAAGTATTGTAGAGTAGTTATGAAAAAGAACAAATTTTTGACAATTACTTTCCATATTATAAACCTTTAGAAAACAATATTTTTGAATACTCAGAATGTAATTTAAAACAAAAGACTGTTATGGTGTTTTTAAGAAAGACTAGGAGATAGTTATTTATGTAAATTAAGTCTGTTATGTGAATTACTATATTATTATGTGCAAATTACTAGAAGTTACAGAATAATTTTTAATATAGAAACATGTAATAAGTCTGTAGTCAGAGGTGGATTAATTAATATTCTTCTTCTATCCTCTTAGATAAATATATGTGTTTACATTAAAAATAAATCTTAATCAAAATAGTGCGTAATTTATATAAAAATAAAAATGCTTTATGAATAAATGTAATCTTGATAATTAATAAAATCAACAACATACCTTGAACCATTAATTAAATGACAAAACTTACAACATATAAATATGAAACCTATTATAAATCCTTCAAACATACAATTGATTCCAAAGTATATGTGCATTTGTCAAGGCTGTTCATACAGTTGTTTTTGAGATGTAATTCCTCTCATTTGGGAAGAATTAGACTACATTAATTAATTTAATTAAACAGAATATTGTATATAACTTTTATTTATTTTGAACTCATTCAGTTCCTTCTAGTGTATTGTGTTACTTTATATACCTAAATTGTAAAAATTAATAAATTATATTATGAAAAAATAATATTTCATTCTTTTAAAAATGTTGCAAAAGGCCTGACATTTGTAAAATCTAGTAACCATGTTTGATTGATTTTTTGTTTTTCTGATTTGAATGCTATTAATTTGTTGTTAATAATTAAATGTAGTGATATTTTTCTTTGCTTTTTAAATTAGTTTAAATAATAATAATTTATAAGCTAGGTTTTTTTTGTTTTGGAGAATTTTTCTTATATAGGTAAGAAATTGTATGATTTAATTGATATTTTTCTGCCAAAAATTGGAAAATATTTGGAAAATTCAATATAACATCTGTTTTTGACATGTCCTCTAATGGTTGCTATAAAATGAGTCTATTATATTTTGGAATAAGATTTCAAAAATAGTTTTGTGTGATAGATTTTAAAAAGAACTTTAAAGAACTTATGGATTTTTTAATAAAGCAATTTTATTTCATCCATGTTTTCTCAGCCATTTTCATCTATACAAAAAAGAAATAAATCAAATCTGGAAATAATTTTAATCATATTAAATTTTAAAATTGTTGAAAAAGTTTTTGAGAACAGAAATTTTATAAATTCAATAAGTATATTTTAAATATTTATTAATAATAATTTTGAATTTTAAGTTTTGATGTAACTATTTAGAAAAGTTATGGTTGAGAATGTATTTATTTATCATTAGAAATAAATTAATAACAGTCACATAGTTCTTAACTAGAAATTTAATTTTTCAGATTGTAATGATAACTTAAATTCGTACAAAGAATTTAAAATAGTTACATATATTTAATATAACATATGCTTCATAATCTGAAGCATATGTTATATTAAATTGAAGCATAATCTTCATAATATGCTTCAATTGCAACTGTCTATCTGAGGACAATAAAACAAATTGGAGACCATAGGAAATTTTAGGCTTTCAGATTTTAATGTAAATTAAGTTTTTGGATATATGAGCATCAAGGTTTGGCTCTCTGGAGGACTTATTGCATACTATTGACGTTTGTCAGAGTAATCAAACGGTAATGGATGAACTCTATTCTTCCATTATTGTTTGAATGTCAATAGTGTATGATAAGTCCTCCATAAAGCCAAACCTTAGTGCTCGTATATGTAAATCATAACATAAGGACAGAAAGGAAATCACCAATCTGAAAGTTAAGTTTTCATGTCAACTCTACAGTTAAATTTTTAGCTTAATTTATAAATATGTCTTCATTATAATCTGTTTTCTTTTCATTTCATCTTCAATGTAAATATACAGAACATCAATAGAAATACTAATACACCAAACTCCTGATTATCCATGAACAGATTATCTGTGCGTCATCAAAATATTTTGTTTATCTTGTCCACGTGCACCATAACAAACAGGAAGTTGTATACACATCATCAGTGTAAAGCACTAGGCTTTCAAGCTCAGCTGATTTTCCAAGAATTGGACTAAAAGGTTTATGGCAGTTGACCTCAGTTTAACTTTAGAAACTTTAGAAATTTATCAATAGAATACATGTGAAAAAAATCAGATTTGTGCTATAAACAGTTGATAAAAATATCCCAGTAATCCTAAAACTAAAATGCAGTAATTTGGTAATGCAATAATTGCAGTAAATACTATGAAAAGTTTAGTTATATAAATAAGGTTGTTTTAATAATATTTATTATATTTATTTTTTGCTTTTAACAATTTGAAAAGTTTTGTATTTTGAATCAAATATTTCATCATTATTTCATTTTTGATTTATTTGATTTATTCATTTAATAAAGTTATTTGTTGTAGTATTGCCAACTTTACACACACAAATTCTATTAATCTACTTCAAAATACTTTTTAATGTTAAAAAAACTAAAGATTATTTTAAGTGGACTATTTAAGTATAATTCATATATTAATATGCGTACATTTAAAGTTTCCAATATATGGATATTAGTGAATGATGACACATAAATGTAACTTATCTTATTGTCACTAAATGCTGAAAAAGTATGTTTTACAGAGGAATAAAAGGAAATGTGGCATATTCCATCTTCTGATTAGATATCATTATTGGATTTTAATAGCATTTTTGGACCATTTATTTCACTTGATGACTATAAATCTCAGAAATGATTTAGCAAATAAATTGAAAATCATACTAAATCTGATTTGCCGAGAGATCATATTGTTATCAGGAAATATATATTTTTAGTCTTTTTCTCCTAAATTTCTTACAGATAAAAGCTTTAGATGTTTTATGACTTCACTTTAATAGAAAGAGTTTAATATTTTCTTTTATGTAATATATTTAACATAAATTGTAGCTTAATCATTTTACATATATTTGTTCAGCATAAGTTTTCAATTCTAACTTATTTCGTATAATCTAAACAGTTATAGAATTACTGTTAAAATTATTAATATATAATTTCTTTTTAGATATACATTATATGTACAGTAATTTCTCCATTTATGTTCTTTTTATTTATGTACTATTCTCATAGAACCAATTACTCATGTTAATGGAAGAATTACTAACACACTTAGTTGCATAATTTTTAATCACAATTTCTGTTTACACTGTACAGTTCAAACTCTATAGCAAAAGGAGTGCAAGAAGAAAATGCAATTTAATAGTCTGAATTGTTTTCTATTGAAACTCTGTCAAATTCTCTAAAAAATAAATGGTGAAATTTAATTAATGTCAAATAAAAAAAATACCTCTACAATTCTTATATTTTCAAAAATAAATTATTATTGAT